AAAATGTATCGATAACCTGAATATTGCGAGTAGGCATTTCTGAAATATTGGCATATCTACAAAAATGCGTTAGCGCGAGCGTAAACGGAAGTGCTGGTCAGAATTTAATACAATTTATATGGGCTACATCTACAAACAAACCCGCACAATCCCTGAAATTTAATAAAAATCGGATGAATGGTAGTAGGTGATATAGATCATAAGATTGTAGTAGATGATATGACTACAGACAAACAGACACTGAACCAATTTTGATCCTTGATGTCTGAAACGTTAAACGCGAGTGGAAATTTTCGATTCTCAGAACAAAATATTTTTTAACCTCTGGCATGAATACAACGCCTCCATACCTTCGGTAGTGAGGAAGCAAAAAAATCTTACAGGATTGAAATTATATTTTCAAAATTGAGTTTTAATAAATTAAATTTGGAAATAAATTGTAAAATGTTAAGATCGAAAAATGAGAAAGAAATCCATCTGTTCAATTAATTTTATAATTTTTTTCATATTTCTCAGATAGTCATTATACTTTTATGAGGAGAGAGAAAATATCCAAATTTTGATAGAAATAGAACAAGAGGAAGGTGTGATACAGGGCCTTTATTATATTTTTAGGTTTAGTACAAAAATACTTTTTTTTTTTTTTGTTTTTTTTTTATTGTTCTCAATTTAATTCAGGCAATAAAATGATTTTATGTGAAGATATCATGATATTTATTTTTAAATATATTACACCAAGTACTATTGTAAAACTACAGATTTTAATTGGAGAGGGAAGGAGTGAAAGAAAGACCGGCACAATTACACTTGTCCCTCCTTCAAAACTCCTAGTTCTGGTTCTGGTGAGATATAACACCGGCAAATTATTTTCTTTCACCTTCAACTTGACTACAACCTAACTGGCTGAAGGAAATGAATCGAAAATAAGCATTAATATGTATTTTGCACTATACTCCATTCTAGAAAGAGTATTCTTAGTAGTATTATTTTGTATCACTTCAGTATTTAAAAAGAATTAGAAATAAAAATATTTTATTTTTACAAATTTCAGTCCATAAAAATGTTATTTATAATTTGATTCAGAGTGTTTTAAGATATCTTACATCATCAGCGTGGATTCAACTTAAAAAATTTCAAATTTCAATTTCAAATTTCAAAGTAGGACTTGCTTTTACAAGTCTTAAAGCCAAAAAAACCAAAACTTAAGAAAAGTCTGATACGCACAACACACAACTTTCACTGACCTCTCTGCTTTGAATAGAAATTATTTTCTGGCAATGTTCAGCAATTATAAAATTATAAAAGTTCACTTTTAACAGAGCTATAGCTTAAAACTTACATCTAACAAATCATTAAGACAACTAAAATAAAAAAAAAACCTATTAATTATATCAATGGTAGACAATAAAAACCTCGGTACTCCATTTGTGCTAATGTTCTAATAACTGTCCTTTCAATTTTCTAACATTATAAAGAAAAGAAAAATGTTTTGGGTCCTTACTCGCTAAGTATTTATTTTATGGTAAAATTCATAATAAAACTTTTGAAAAGTAATTAAATTACCAACAAAAAAAAAAAAAAACCAAAAAAAAAACCAAAAAAAAAAAAAAAAAAAAAAAAAAAAAAAAAAAAAAAAAACCTCATCGAAATCAAACTAGTATTAACGATGATACAGCTTATTCTACTTTCTACAAATGTTTTAATTTATTACTTTCCTATCTATTCTAGAGAAGGAAAGTATTGTGATCGGGTCTGTCTATCTGTCTGTGTCAAGATTTTCTCGGAAACTAGTGAATCGACTTTGTTTTGCTTCTTTTTTTATTTTGTATGGTTTTGAATACTGATGCCTGTGACATAAATTGGGTCCTCCATGCGCAATAGCTGTTGAGCAATAAATTAAAGACGTGTTTTTCTATAGACTAGCGCGAAAACGGCACTAACGATTTTGATGAAACTTTCTTATAATGTTCTAATAACTGTCCTGTAAAATTTATAATAAAACTTTTGAAAAGTAATTAAATTATCAACAAAACAAAAAAAAAAAAACATCATCGAAATCAAACTAGTATTAACGATGATACAGCTTATTCTACTTTCTACAAATGTTTTAATTTATTACTTTCCTATCTATTCTAGAGAAGGAAAGTATTGTGATCGGATCAAATTTCCGATATGCGGTTTTCGACGGATCTATACGTTTTAGTCCCGTGTAGGAAAAATTCAAGAAAAAAAATTATAAAGAAAAGAAAAATTTTTTGGAGCCAAACTCGCTAAGTATATATTCGATGGTAAAATTTACAATAACACTTTTGAAAGGTAATGGAATTCCCAACACAACTGTATAAAAATCGTTCATTTCGGACAACTATTAACGAAGTTATAGCTATTCAATTTCCAATATAAGATTGCGAGTTCATATCCTGGTGTCAGAATGGATTGAATGTGAAAGAAAATATAACTAAGTGAAAGTAAGAAAATCTGTTGCCCGCATCACACGAGCTTCAGTATTTCTGCTACTTTTAACAGAAATTATTGTTTGACAACATTAGGCAATGACAAAACGTTTTAGATCAGCAATATTAAAGAGTATTGAAATTTTTACACTGATCTACCTTAAGCAGGTTTATGTTGTTTTAGTTTATCAAATAAACCGTACTCAAATCTTTTATCTTTTCTTTGATCAATTATTTATCAAGGAAAATAAATCTAATTCAATTTTTTTTTTGTTTCGTGATAGATCTATGTAAAGATATAAATATTGTTGTGAAATAGGTAGGAAAGTCGTGTGAGTGGACACATCAGATTTTTTTTTGGGTCCTAGAGAGAAACCAAGAGGTCTAGAGCCAAAATTTCTCGGGTACCTGTCAAACATTAAATTCACCACTAATATTTTCCTATATAAAGTATACAGACGGTGTAATGTAGAGATATTAAGCAATTAATATAAAATATATGTAATGTTATGTTTTAAAATATTCAGATGGTAAATTATTCTTATATTCTTTGATACAGTATAATATTCTATTATAATCGGGAAACTACGACATACAGTTGACATCAAATTATTTAAAATTGGAAGAAAATAATTTATAAAGTATTGTTAGCCCACTTCCAACGTAGTCAGTACATTGATAGCATCATACGTAGACTACGCATTATAACTATATACACGCTTCTCGTGTTAGTACGGTAGTTAAAAACTCAAGAACGCCTCGCATAGTAATTTTTACTAATGCTATGTTACATCTTCTAGTAGTAGTACTACGCAACCGTAAGGAGTGCCTACACGCAATGCAGCTTACTGATGCCAACTATTCGAACGCTCCTTTGAAACATAATAAACCTTTATCTCAAAAGAAAAATAAATTGGTAGGCTTAAGAGCAAGCAGATTATTCTAATTTAATTTGTAATGAGAATCGATAAATTAATCCAGCAATTAAATCAAGTATCAACAAATTTTGAAATAACATCTTGTTTATTGAGGATAGTTCCATAGTTTATTTCCATATAAAACTTTACGAGACGCCGTCAGGCGTTTTCGGGAAACTGGTTCTTACAATAGAAGGCCCGGTTCTGGACGGCCTACGGTAACAGAACCACGGGATGACCGGTTTTCGACTTTGAGAATTTTACGAAACCTGCACCTTACCGTTGTTCAAGCGAACGATCGCCGATTTCGTTGAGGATAGGCAACACATGAGGCTCCAAAATCTCATCTACATAGCGAATGGCCGTCAACCAAGACCCTCCACGAACAACAACCAATTCTGTGCTGCGCTCCATTGAAATCCCAGCCCACACCATTAAGGAACCACGTTGGAAAGGTTGGCTCTGGGAAAAATTACAGGCTGCATATCTTTCGTTTCTTCTTCTCCACACCCTTTCACGCCCGTCTGGAGATCGAAGAGCGAATCTTGACTCATCTGTAAAAAGTACAGCACTCCATTCATCGATAATCCAATGGCTGTGTTCTCGAGCAAAAGCCAGCCGTGTTACTCTGTGAGTTCTGGTCAACTATGGTCCTCTTACTGGACGAAAAGCCATTAAAACATACTAATTTAATCTTCTTCGAGCGGTTTCTTCAGAAGTTCGGTACGTTTAGAAATTTGCACACCTCGAACTTCTTCGAGCTGATGAATCGCTTGAACAACGGTAAGGTGCCGGTTTCGTAAAATTCTCGAAGTCAAAAACCGGTCTGTTACCCTAGGCCCTCCAGAACCGGGCCTTCTATTGTAAGAACCAGTTTCCCGAAAACACCTGACGGCGTCTCGTAAAGTTTCATATGGAACTCCGATGGCATTAACTGCATATCTTATGGAACGTCTATCATCAATAAGTGTCACACCACACATCCTCAGCACTAAGATATGTGCTGCAAGAAACGGCACTGAACTAATGATATTGAATAAACATTTCGATTCCATAGAAAGTAAACATTGGAATCTAGAATCATTTCATTGAATTAAGGATTAAGGGTTATATATTAACATTCCTAATTGAAAACAAACAAAAAGATTACCTATTTATTCATTAAAAACAATAGTCCAATCCAAAGCAGAAATATTTTCAGATGAAAACATGAAAAAATCAAGTGGGTGGAATTTTTTGCCTGTCAGTGTATATATGGCATGGTGTTTAAGTGATTCTTAAAGTCTTATTAAATGTAATTACACGAACAATAAGGCTTATTTCACACTTACCCGGCAGCCGAGTAAACGATGCCGTGTACGCTGTATTCGGGAGAGAGAGTAATAGGGAGCTTTCACACTAACCCGATTTTTGTCGTTGTCCTTTAAACGACACGAAATTGTCTTGCTGTCGTTTATCCGGCATAGTCGTTGCCGGTTAAACGACAATTCAGTTTCACACTTACCCGACTGTCGTTTAAACGATGCCGGATAGTAGTATCGAGACTGAAACTAATAGGGACCTTTCACACTAGTCCGGCAATTGTCGTTTTCGTTTAAACGACACTAGTTGCCATGCTAATTTCGGCCTAATGACCAATGACAATATTCATTTGCCGGATAAACGGCAAGACGACAGTCGTGCTAGTGTTCTGAGTACCCGGCAACGTTTGGACGACTGCCGGTGTCGTGCAAATAATAGGTTAGGTTTTCGCTGCTCTTATCAGTGCAGTACAAATCTAACCTATATATACTGCGATAAAACGAATTGGTATATTGTTGGCTATGTGTGAATTATTTTCCATAGGATGTTTAATTTATTTTTATAATAAATTACATTGAAAATTAATATAAATAAGATTGTATCTGTCCTCGAAAATTTATTAAAGCTGCTTTTAAAAAATAATAAAATTAAAGGTTTATGTGATCTTGACTTTATGATATCAAATTGTAAACATTTTGGAAATTTAAGAATCGATGTAATATCCTATGTTACGCACTAATTCTCTGCAACTATTAGGCATACTGTTTAAAATATTGTCACTGATTTCACAATGGGAATTCATCCCATATACATAGCAACACGGCTTTCAGTTGCTGAAAGTTAAGAAAGCACAAACTGTGGCAGTGCACTCATCCCCGGTTCTCAGTAGAAAATGAACCACCTAAGATCACAATATAATAATATAATAAAGAAACATGTTTGTAAACATTGCAGCATTCCAATTTGTACTGTCATCTAGGAATTTGCTGCACCATAATCTGTGGAGTTGTCGACGATGCACTGGTTGCTGCATGCCATTTTAAAGGGGCATAAGATGTTAGATAAACTTCCCACAAAAAATTGAGAACGTTTTTAGTTTTCATTATTTTTTAGTACTTCATTAAACAGACAAAGTTTTAGTTTTTAGTACTTACATTAAATAGACAAAGTTTGCCCCCCTCTAGATTGAAAACGCCTTAATTCCAAGAGTTTTCGTAAATAAAATAACTATTATTTATTATTATTATTATACAACTATAGGTTACGATAAGATGTTAATAATTCGATGAAAAGGAGCCACGGACTCAACTTATTAAAAATGACAAGTCCGTCTTTGATATGAAGCCACTCATATTGAATAAAATGAAGAATTTATTTAGAAAAAATGCATTAACATCGTTGTGAAAGTGTCCACTATGAAAACTATATATTTATTCATTTTTCACTGTGATATTTGCTAGAAATTTAATTTTATGGTTAACTATTTAAATAAGAATATTATTTAATTAAAGCGAGAATAAGAATATTCAAAATGTGATGTTTGCTAGAAATATAATTTTATGGTTACCTATTTAAATAAGAATATTATTTAATTAAAGCGAGAATAAGAATATTCAACATGTGTCAATGCCGTCCAAATGTCGTTTATCCGGCGCCGGCCCGATGTCGTTTATCCGGCAGTCGTGCTAATGTGAAAGAGATCAAGTTTCAGTCTATGTGGGTCCGGCGCGGGCCGATGTCGTTTATCCGAGTGCCGGGTAGGTGTGAAACAAGCCAAAGGGTTGGACTAGTCTTAAAGCCTCGCTACTGGAGCCTTTAAGACAAGGCTACACGATTCACGCCTACCATCTCTCTTTTTCAGAAGATAAAAAAAAGTAATGAATTACATTAAAAAGTTGTACCGATCAGCTGATTGGATGGTTGTTGTCTCAACTGGTCTCTCAGTATTTGCCTATTTTTAAGTGGAATCTCTCTGATTTTTTCATTGAATACATTTCACGTGTACACCAGAGCAGTTAATATTGCTGTTTGATATATTTTTTTATTCTTTTATTAATTTTTTATCTCTCTATCTTTCTTCTCCTATCGTATGCGGTATACTCACCAAGTGATGTCTAGTAAGGTGCCCAAGAGGACTCGGTCAGACGTAGTTAGCTCACCAGCCAAACAAAGGACTCGTCGCTGCCTACGAGAAACATCTCCAACAACAAAAGTGAACACTTCAGAACCAGAACCTCAGCCACAACCAGGAACTTCTTCTCAAGAAATGATCGAAGAATCCCCTTTCTTTACTCCAAACCCCTACCAAGTGCTTCAAAATGACCGAGAACTAATGGAGTCTGCAGCAATACCAACAGAACCAAGGCCTTCTCCGATATTTGTGAAAAATATCAAAAATTTCCTTTTGTTCTGTACCCAACTAAAAAAAATCTGCCCTGGCAGTTATTCATGTCTTAACAGGACCAACGATACAAAAATAACACCAGATACTGCTGAAACCTACCGAATAATAGTGAAGTACCTCTCAGAAACAAATGCTAATTTTCAAACGTACCAGCTTAGGCAGGAGAGATCGTTACGAGTAGTAATAAGAAATTTACACTCCTCAACCCCAACTGAAGTGATAAAAGATGAACTAGCGGCGCTTGGTTTCAAAGTAGGTCAGGTAACCAACGTTCTGAAGGAGAATAAGGAGCAGCCTGGAGTAAAAAATAAAGTTCCACTACCATTATTTTTCGTGGATCTGGAGCCTTCATCCGGTATTGAGAAAATATACCATATAACAAGATTATATTACACAATGGTGAAAGTTGAGAAACCATACCCCAAGAGAGAAATCGTGCAGTACCATAATTGTCAGGCGTATGGCCACACGAAGACTTATTGTCACCATCTGCCGCGTTGCGTGAAATGCGGTGAACAGCACAAATCTGTAGAGTGCACCAAACCTATACAAGATCCTGCAGTGTGTGCACTATGCTTGGAGGGACACCCGGCCAACTACAAAGGATGCCCAAATTACAAGAATCTCAAATCCAGACACCAGAAAAACCGGATTCAAGATGAAGTAGGAAGACCAAGAAGAGAGAGAACCTTCTAGAATAGTAAACAATAGTGTATCATTTTCCCAGCTACTTAGAGGTAAGAGCTCAACCGATAATTGTCAAGCCCTGCTGCAACAACAACCTCAACCCCAACCTCAAAATCCTTTTGATCCAAATAAATCTAACCATCAACAACACATTCATCATATCCCTCCTCCTTCTAATGCAACAGATCTCACCAGTTTGCTGGCATCATTCCTTACCGATTTTAAATCCTTAGTTACTCCACTCATATCACTCCTCACAAATCTCGTATCTCACCTCATCCCTGCTTTAAAAAATCCTTAAGGACTCCCAAAACCCATATCCATTCTCCTTTGGAATGCGAATGGTGTTAGAAATCACGTTGACGAACTAACAGCTTTGTTAATGGACAAGAACATCGACGTGGCACTAATTACGGAAACACGACTGACCAGAAAACAGCATTTAAAAATACCTCAATACATAACATACCGTACTGACCATCCTGACGGTAAAGCACACGCCGGTAATGCTGTTATTGTACACCACTCCCTTTCTCATCACCAGCTCCCATTGCCGACACAAGATTTCCTACAATCCACCGCTATCGTAATCAAAACCTTCTCCTTTCCCGTCACCATAGCATCAGCATATTGCCCTCCTAACAGATCCATATCCAATATCCAGTTCAGTTCTCTTCTCAACTCCTTAGGACATCATTTCATCCTGGGTGGAGATTTAAACGCCAAACACCATCAATGAGGTTCTAGAACCACGAACTCTTGGGGCAGAACATTGTTATCTGCACTCAATTCCCAACGTTTCAGTATCCTTCCTCCTAAATCACCTACCTACTGGCCCACAGACCCTAACCGCAATCCCGATATCCTTGATTTTTTCATCCACAGTGACTTAGGTTCCCTCAACCATTCCCTTACCCCTCTTGCCGAACTATCCTCAGATCATAGTCCATTATTACTCCAATTATCTCTAGCTCCTATTCCTAAGTCTTTTCCACCGTCCTTCATCAGAGGCCCAGTTAACTGGAAACTCTTTCACCAAATCCTTTCCGATAAAATTGACCTCAGAATAACCCTGAAAACCCCAGATGACCTTGACAATACCGTACACTTTTTTACTGCCACTATCCAACAAGCAATCTGGACTGCTTCCTCTCCAAACCACTCCTCGAGAACTCCTAAGAAAAATAAGTTACCTCAACACCTCATAGACCTAATCCATACCAAACGCCGTGCCAGATTATTATGACAAGTACTAGACACCCCACCGATCGTCAATCCTATAATTATTTTTGCAAAAAATTAAAGATAGAATTGGCCATCTTCAGATCCCAATCCTTCAACTCCTACCTTACTTCCCTCTCTTCTCATAAGAATTCCTTATGGAAGACCACTAAACATATCCTAAAACCCTTTATATATCACATCCTCTCCGTCGAGGTAATGGCTCTTGGGCAGCGTCTGACGAAGATAGAGCGAAGAATTCGCCAAACACCTTTCCCTTACATTCACCTCTCATCCAGAATCCAATCCCACCCACTCGTCAGCAGTAGAGGAATTCCTTAATTCACCCATCCCACTCTCCTTAAAGCCTAAAGCAGTTAATCCTTCTGAGGTCAAATTTCTCTTACAAAAACTACCTACCCGTAAATCACCTGGATACGACCTCCTTAACTCTCAGATCCTTAGACTAGACAACTTCCTCCTAAAGCTGTCATATTCCTTACATACATATGCAATAGCATCCTACGAACCACCCACTTTCCTCTTTTGTGGAAACATTCCACTATTATCCTGTTTCCGAAACCAGGCAAACCTCCCAACACCTCAACGTTCTACAGACCAATTAGCCTACTTCCGATTCTCTCAAAAATCTTTGAAAAGATCCTCCTGAAACGCATCCTACCCTTTATAGAATCCCAAAATCTTCCTTCCCATCAGTTCGGATTTCGTTCACAACACTCTACAGTCCAACAAGGACTCCAAGTGGTTGATCATATTTCCGCAGCATTGGAAAGCAAGCAATATTGCTTGGGTGCCTTTCTGGACATAGCTCAAGCTTTCGACCGGGTATGGCACGCCGGGCTTCTTTCAAGCAGAAAACCCATCTTCCTCAGTCCTTATACCTTGTTCTCCGTTCCTACCTCTCAGATCGTACCTTCCGAGTTCGTTGCGGTACTGAATTTTCGCATTGCTATCCAATTGAGGCAGGTGTTCTTCAAGGTAGCGTATTGGGTCCCGTCATTTACATCCTCTTTACCGCCGAAATCCCTGTCCATCCCGATACTTTCCTGGCAACTTTTGCTGATGACACCGCCATTCTATCATCTGCCTCAGATCCTGATATAGCATCCTCAAACCTAAAAGACACCTCTCCCTGATTGAGCACCGGTGTAATAAATGGCGTATTAAAGTAAACGAATCCAAATACCAACACATCACCTTCACGCTCCGACGCAGTTCCTGTCCACCAGTACACTTTAATTCCATCCAGCTTCCTTTCTCAGACACAGTTCGGTACCTTGGCTTTCTCTTAGATAGACGACTAACGTGGAACCCTTATACTAGACTTAAAAGACAGGAACTAAACCGACGATATGGCCAACTATACCGGCTGCTAAACAGGAAATCTAAACTTTCCATTGAAAACAACTTACTGATCTACAAGACAATATTGAAACCTATCTGGACTTACGGACTTGAACTGTGGGGAACAGCAAAATTTTCTAACATCAAACGCATCCAATCCTTCCAACAATAGTCGATGCTGCTTTCTATGTAACCAACAAAACCCTACACCATGACCTTAATATCCCATTTGTCCTAGACCTTATCCCATCAAAATTCTCCAAACTCCACCAGAACCTTACCCATCATCCAAATCCCTTTGCACAATCTCTATCCAGCACCACCCATCCATATAATCCTCCAAGGAGGTTAAAACGGCAGTGGCCCCGCGACCTTTTATAGTTTGTAA